TCAGAAGAGGTGGCTGTCTTTGGAATGAAACTCTCCCAGGATTTCCAGTCCATCCCTAATAAATACACAAAGAAGGTGGCTTTTCTGTGGTAGCAGCTACGTGTTTGCTTTTCAGGAACTACTGGCCGTAAACGGAACTTTGAAACTTTTCCCTTCCTACTTCTCTGGCTCTGACTACATACCTTAGACTGTTAAGGGAGGCAAAAGGGAGAGGCACAAACGTATGAATTTTTTTGGAGTATGTATTTAGCTCTTACAGACATGCATGGCACAGCATATTATTAGAGCCTGAATTATCCTCTGTCTTGGTATGTGTTACACTGGGATCTTCTGGTCTTCAACAATTTTGTTCTTTTTTCTGATTCTTGGTCACTCGAGCTGTCCATGTGTCCATCGATCTTCTCTGAGCTTGATGTAAGTGTTGATTAGCTGCAAGAAGTGTTGCGGACCCCCTCTTTTCAAATCCTGGTCCCTGTAGGAAGGAAGTGGAAGCTGAAGGTTGTGCTCATGTCCCACTTATTAGTCTGGAAGTGTGCTTTCTTTTCCAGAGCTGTAACTTCCTCCTCATCTTTTTTGATTATTACATTGCATCCACCTTATTCCTTGTATCAAGCATCAGTACCAGAAGAGATGTGCTTGCTGTTAATCACCAGATCTTGGTGGTTTGTATTGCTAACCAGAGGTTCCCAAGTGCACATGCTTCTTTCTGGAGCATGCTCAGCTGTATCCTCATAACGTGGAGTGTCATCTCCTGGAGCTCCTTACCCTTTGCCATCTCTCTTTCTTTTTCACAGATAAAACAGATCTTTGAATCAACCAGCTTCTCTTTGCTCTCCATTACGATCCTTTTGTGCTTAGGACAGGTTCCTTCAGGCCTAAGTTGTTCTTCAGCACGAGTGTTTGCAAACAATTTTTAGAGCTTTCACAGGTTGCATTATGTCTTAAGACATTCATTACTTAACACTTCTTTCTTGGTTACTGTTAACCCAGCCACTGCAGAAACATCATGCTGCCGCAAGATGGTTCCTACCTCTCATATAGCTTCTGTTCAGAGCAAACACTTCCCATATATGGGTGGCTTTTTTAATTTTCCCACATTCACAGGACCATAAGTTGGATGGTGCAGGTTGGATTACAAACTCAGGAGGTTTGTAGTCCAACCTCCTGCACAAGGTAGGGTCAGCTGTGAAGTCAGAGCAGGTTACTTAGGGATTTATCAAGTGTAGAAACAATAAAAACCATGAGTGTTAAATATACTCCCGCTTTTGTATTTGGACAGGACACTGCCCCTTTTGAAGAACACACACACGAGTTTCTTATTTTGTTTGGAGTAAGGATTGATTTTTTGGTTCAGTACCCTTTTCTCAAAGACAGTCTGACTAAATTTTCAGTTGTGTCAGGAAAAGCTGTAGTGGTGGTGAAGGAAGCTGATGTTGTTGGAATAGTATTGAGTGAACAAGTCATGCCTTTGCATTTCTGTAAAGTGTTCTTACTGTGCAGAACTGTCTCATAAACCTCTAGTCATACCTTTCCTAGCCGTGTCTTGTAGCTGGGGATTCAAAATAGGGAAGAGAGGTTATCGAGTCCAAACAAATGAAAACAAAACGCCCCTTCTCCCAGAGTTTGTGTTCTTCCCCTGAAGACTTAAATCACCCCAGAAGGATTTGCTCAGGAAGGTAGGTGAGCTGTGACTCTACATATTTTAATTGTTTTCTTGCAAATGAGAAGAGTCATTTGGGTGAGGACTTGGCAGTGTATGGAGACTCTTTCATATTTGTCCACATATGTCTTTGCTATACGCGTAGGTTATGTGCCCTGAAAGAATGGTGGGCATATGTTTTAGATCAACAAAGAAGAGCTGGGGATTACAACTAAGGTAGCGCATAGTGTGTTGTGTGCCCTTTGCACCATGTGCTTGAGGCAGTGAAAAGACAGGACGCAGGCACAATTTAAAGCTTTTTAGGACTAAATATGTCTCCAAGTTTAATATATGATAGATTTACATGTAACTATGCTCGGGGTAGCAGTTTTAGCAAAACCTGGAAGTGTTTTAATAACTTTCTCTGCTTAGTAGTTGACCATTATCTTTATTTACAACAGTTTCAACAATATCCATATCTCTCATGCTTACTTCTGTCTTTGTGCATTTCTCTGAAATGATGCTCCAGGTGTATTTCTACAGCTGGAAAGGCTGAGTCAAGTGGGTTATAAAAATTCAGTGTTCTGTGGCATATTCTACTCAGTAGCACTAAATAACAAAAACATAGTGGTTGTAGATTTTTAAGGTGCCCCGTTTAAGAACATAGGAATGAAATGTTACTGCTGCTGTGATCTGCCTGGAAACATTTCTGTGTATTTTATTTGTTCAACATGGGTGTTTTTATCAGTTGTTCTTTTTTTTTTTTTTTTTTGTAAGTTTCAAAGTAAAAAATTAACTTCTGCCAAAAAATTTATGTTTGGTCCACCCATGCTGCAAGAGGGCAGGAGCCATATGGCCACAATTAGTGTAGTTGTAAATGAGTAAATAAGTCCTGGTGACAGGCATGGCATATTTACAAAGTTTGTTTGCCTTCCTAACCACAGTAGCGGAGTTTCCTGTAAGAGTAGTGTGACTGTGTGTGGCTCTGCAGAAACCTGGATAGTATTACTAATTCTTGGTTTATGGTTAATTTCGACTTTAATTCTGTTTTCACTTCAAGTGTCAACCATCAATTTGAAACTAAATCTAAGCTGAAGAAAGGACTTTTATTTTTCCTCTAAACAAATGCTGATAAAATAATATGGGTAATGGTTTAAGAAAAAAAAACAACCCTCCTGACTGAGCAAAACTAATCACTAACACGGTCAAGTATTATGTGTCCAAAGGCATATTTTTGTTACTTCAATTTTAGCTGGACATTTAAAGCATTCATTAATACATGTGCTCTGTGTTGGTCTGCCACACATGAAGAGTTTTATAATATAAGCTTTTTTGTCTCTGAAACCCTTTGGCTATTGCAGTATTACAGAACAATCGTTAATAATTCCGAAAGGAGCAGAATATCTAAACACAAACGACCTGTTTTGTGTTAAAATCTAGTTAAATTTGAATAGTTTAACTTGGTTGTGTTTGAAGGTACTTAAACACAGTTTAAAGAGCAGCCATTGCTGAGGGCTGGTTTGTGTACCTCAGGCTGGGCCGTTGCACTTATTATTTCAAAGGCTTTTGGTGTCATGGGTCGTAAGAGTTACCAGATTTTAATTTGAATCAACTGCCTCAAGTCTACAGCTCAGGTTTTTCTGCAGCTGTGCTTTTAAAGATGCATGGTGGGTTTGTTTTTTTTGTTTTTCTTTTTAGCCCTGAGAAGGGATACTATTTCTTTTTTTGTTATCACTTCAGTCTTTTTCTCTTGTTTATTTTAACATACAATTTTCTACACTGGGTGAGTGTCATACAACTGGAATACCTTCTGCTGAAAAAACGAGGGAAAGATCTGTCGCAGTGAAAGCTGAAGTCGTCATGGTGGAGAGGAGAGCACACCCAGAAGTTTGCCTGCCTTGCTCTCCTTCAGGTGCCTTAAAGAAAGGCAACTTCAGCTCCCAGTTGGCTTCTTGAGTTTACTAAGTAATAAGTGGATTACTTAGTAAACTATCATTTCTGGTTATAGAATTCGGTAAATGAACCTCCATATAGGACATTTTTTTCCAGATAATGCTAAAAATCAAGCTCAGCACTATGTTTCAAAATTAAAAATCTATCCAGATTCATAAAACTGAAGGATATCTTTCTTGGCGATCTAGCATAGCAAGTAAATGTTGGGGATGGCACACTGTATGAAAAATAAAGTAAGTAATTACTTTGCCAATGTGTTATGTACATAGCTGAATGTCCTGGATTTCCTGCTGCTTCATGAAAATTTAGACCATCTGGATTTGGTTTTAGCTTTTGATCTTCTGCCATGACCCTTGCAATCACCTAAGCTATATTTATGCCGTATGTAATACCATTAGCTATCCAGGCTTACGAGTCATCTTCTCGCAGTAAGCACAATAACTATTCTCATCACGTACGTCTCTCCTGTACTTCAAGTTTTGTTTAAACATGGATTTGTTACTGGATCTAGTGCTTTGTGTTTAATGGTTTAGATTTCACAGTCTCCTCACCTGAAAGTTCTTACAGGATTTTACCCCAGCGTTGTTAATCTTTGACGTATAGTTGCAGCGGGACTTCAGAGCTCTAGGAACGAAGAACTGTTTGATTACTTTAAGCTTTCTTGAACAATGTGACAAGCTTTGGGACCTCTTTATTCTGATTTTATAGGAGAATAAAAGCTATTACGTTTTTGTTACAGGTGAGATAGCAGGCCATTTCCTGCACCTTTCACCCTTCCTAGCAATCTCCGTGACGAATTTATGCTAAGTCACAGAAGGCTCTTCTCAGTGTATCTCAAATCCATCTGTACACTTTTTGGTTTTCTTGGGCCAGGGTGTAATGTGGAACTGGACTTGATATCTCTGATATGTAGCTCAAGGCGACTGTTGCTTACCAAGCCTGTTCCCACCGTACTTCCCAAATAAGATGTGTGGATGAGATTACTTTCCTTCACTTTCGGTCTTACGTTGAGTATGACCCAGAGTTTTATGATGGGAATAAAAGATCACATGGACGTGCAGGCTTATTCTGTGCTCCATGTACACCTTAACTGTGCTCTGTCTTCCTGATGCGTCACATGTGACAGGTCAAAGATTATGTTGTTGTTGTGGTTTGTTTCCCTTGTGTGGTAGTTTATTTATGCTGTGGAATGCTTCTGCAGGTTTTGTATGTAAACATGGTCCTTTCACATTTCAGAGCATAATGGTCAGAGCAAGAGAACTCTAGTCAGCACTTAGCAATTAGTAACTCTGCTTTAATTGGATAGTCTTTGTTACTGGAAAGTAGTGTTTGCTTAAATCTCACATTAAATTTTTTTTTATTTAACAGTTATTTTGTTCCTAAAATTTTTTTCCAATTCTCCCCATAGATGGTAAAGGCAATCCAAGTTCTACGTATCCATCTGCTTGAGCTAGAAAAAGTTAATGAACTTTGCAAGGATTTCTGTAGCCGTTACATTGCCTGCCTGAAGACAAAAATGAACAGTGAAACTCTACTAAGTGGGGAGCCTGGGAGTCCTTATTCACCTGTGCAATCTCAGGTATGTTTCAAATACCGCTAAGTGTATTTTTGCCTAGATTCCCTTAGGAAGTTACAGCTACACTTCTATTGCTATTAGTTTGGAAACAGAGTTTTTGCAGTTTCTTTCACTTTCTGAAAATCACTTATTAAGAGTAGCAAGAGCTGGTTTGGGGTTTTTTGCACACCTGTGTGCCACTGCCTGATGGACGAATTTGTTGAAATGTGCCAGAACATAGTTACCTTTTTTTCTGTCTGTCTCCCTTTCATGATTTTCCCTCAGTTCTGCAAATGGAGATACTCAGAATGACCTGGATTTGCTGTTTTGTTGGGAGGAGCCTAGGAGACAGAATAAACAAAGGAAAAGAGGAAAAAAAATTCCTTCTTAAGGAGGTCTCCTTAGTCTAGTCTGCTTCATTAATATATTGAGACGGCTGGTACTTTGTATACGCAATCTGTATTCTGAAACGAGTAGACAATGATGGATTATAGTTGCAGTATTTGAGATGTATATCACTGCGCGTCACATGGGGTAACTGTCTTGAAGAGTACCCATTTCTATACATGTGAACCTCAGTTTATGTATTGTTGACATAACCTAAATGCAATAACCAATTACATTTTTGTAGCTATTTAATGACAGCTCCTATGTTATGGTTGATGTTTCTGCTGTTAGATGCTGGAAAGTGAGCCCGGCCATCCGAGTATGTACTAGGTATCTGGTCTTAGGGGATGCTCCTTCTCTGACTTAGGAATGTGTTGATGCCTTGTATTCTGAAAAGTCTCAATGACTTTTAAACTTCACTGTCTGGACTCCTTGCTTAGGTTTTGGTGTCTGAAAGTGTGGAAAGGAGAGTCAGAATCAGACAAAAACAACTTTTGAAAGATGCTTTTTGTTATGTCTGTTACAGTCTTCTGTAGAGACAAGAGGGACAGAATTTTGCATTTGGTAACAATAGAGATTACTCATACCTGTTAAGGAATGTGTAAGAGTATGTGTGGTCAAGATTGAGTAAGAACTACCCTGAGCAGAATAAAAAATACAGGGCATCTTCAATACTTAATACATTATTTTGAAATTGTAGGAATTAAGGTAATAACTAAATTTCTAAAGCTTTGGTGCTTGTAATAGTAGCATCAAGGGTCCATTTCATCTGTTCTTTTTCCCTTGTGCCTTTGGAAACTGTTTCATTTAATATTTATATACCTAGCATCTCTAGAATGTCTCTCCTAAAATTTCTCAAGATAGTTTTATGTCTTCTCTAACAGTTGCTTTCATGAGGGTTTTCAAAGGTAATGATTGGTGATAATGAGAAAGTTAATGTAGGTAATGATGAACCTCTAATGAAGTCTCTTCGAAGTTAATCCTGTGATTAAACTCCAAACGTATTTTTAGGGCCAGAATTACACAAGCATGCTTTATCTCCTTAAAAAAAAAGGCAACTAATTGTTTTATTTTTCTAGCAAATTCCAAGTGCCATTGCAGGCACGCTCAGTCCCCAAGGGATTATGGTGCCAGCATCAGCATTGCAGCAGGGAAATGTAACTATGGCAACGGTAGCAGGTATGACACAGTAAAGAACAACTGACACCTTGCTCTTCATTTTGGTTTCTCTTATACTTGTTAGAAAAATACACCAGTATTGATAAAAGTGGGATTTAACTCTAAGACCTGAGAAGTTGTTATAATACAGTCAAGTGCCTGACTTGTTTCTGAATGTTCGTTTAATTTATATGTGTACGGAGTGTGTTACGTGTATATATAATATTAAGAGCTCTTTATGTGCAACACTACTTTTGTTAAAAGACATTTGAGAGACAGGTATTTTACTCTTTTTTTTTTCCTTCAAAAAAAGAATTCCGTTTGACAAAAACATGCATTACCTGAAATATTACCCTTGCTGTCTCATGCTCTGTGGAGTTTGGAACCACACCTACAAGTCTGTGAAATCCACGATGTCCAAGTTGTCTATTGTATAGAGATTACATTTGAACTAAAATGTTTTATCTTTCTTCCAAGCAAGGTTTTAAAACAAACAAACAGAAAACCAACCTTGACTAGAAATGCAGCAAAGCAATGCGGTCTGCTCCTCCAGCATGTATTTGCAGAGAGGTTATCCTGAGACGCAGCGTGTGCTGTGTGGCTTTGGTCCCTAGGACCCCCTATATATTCACCAGGATTCTGCCACCTTAGTTGACCCAAACATCTAGGTGTCACCCAGCTGACTGCCCATACCAGTCGACACTGAGGTGTGGTTTTGGTGTTGTGACCCTTGTTTGCTGAAGAGTTTGCTCAGTTAAGACGATGAAGTACTTGATAGCCTGATAGTCACGGTGTTTTCCTTTGAAAATCAATTTGGAATGCCTCAAATACAGCGAAACATAATCAAATTTCATACAGATTCTGGTGCATGGAAAAAAATGTAGTGTGGCAAAGAGCACCTCTTACATGCTTACTAGAAAAGAACAGCTGATACTTTATCAAAACTGCTGTGTTGTCTGCAGCGCTGATGTGGTTTTGTGTTTAAAGAGAATAGTATTTGAAGGGCTTTCACTTACCTATAATTTTTGTTGCTGTTTTGTTTTAAGGGGGGACAGTGTATCAGCCAGTCACTGTGGTCACTCCGCAAGGCCAAGTGGTGACACAAGCACTGTCACCTGGGACTATTCGGATCCAGAACTCTCAGGTTTGTTTCATGGGCTTCACAGAATAATATTCTGGGTTCAAATAAATCTCATCGGTTTTAAGAGTTTTGGTTGGAACTTGACACACTGGCAGAATGAGCTCTGTGTACTGCACATAGTAACTAATGTGAAATTACTGCAAGCACGGCTATAGGGAGTTACAAGTTGTGTAGCATGACATCGGGTCACAGGCAGATCTCTCTTGGTACAGCAGGTCTTCATAGTTCCTGCCTGTTAAATACTTCTTTATTTTTACTGATGGCAAAAAAGTATATGTACATGGGTTTAAAAAAAGAAAATTGTAAAAAACCCATCCACCAGACCCAATAAACAAACAAACCCCCCCCCCAAACAAACAAAAAAACCCCTCTCTAAATTAAACAGACACTTTTTCAACAATTAAAATTTTTCTGATTGTTAAACTAGGTTTATGGATGGATAGATTTACTATATGGCATTATCGTGCCACACTGTTGTTACCAGATATTTGACTTTTTATCATGATGGCAACCACTAGTACTGTGAAACTGTGTATTTCAGAATTTATGTATGTTGGGAAGCATTTTGCCATAAAACCTTCAAAATACTCTGTTGAGACTATGCAGGGGTTCCTCACATTGGGCTCCAATCATACCCTAAAAGATAAGGGATAGCACACTTACTCTGGGGAGGCTCTTAAGAGTTGGAGCTGAAGAGCTCAAAGAAACAACTGAGCAAAAGGAAACATGTCAAATAGACCATCTGCAGTTATGGAAAACCTTGCTTGGAGCAGGAAGTCGTAAATCAAATCTTCTGGGAATCCAGAGTCAAATAAAAATGTGAATGATGAGCTCCCATCTCCACAGCATAAAATCTGTTGGCAATCACTGACTCACTCTCTTCTTCCTTCTTCTGACTTTCCAACTGAAGAAGTATGCTTAAGAGTATTTTTTCTGTTGGCAGTAGCATACAGGTACTTGCCCACATTCTTCCCTGGAATGCATGCAGTTCTGTCCTCAGATGCCTTTCAGAAATAAATTTGTAAAATTACTCTCCTAGCCTGAAGTGTTCTTGAAGAAATATACTTTTTATACCTCTGATGAACAAAATACTGAGTGGAAAATAATGTCTATAGCCTATAAACAAAAAAAGGATTTGGACTTCTATATAGATCTATGGCCTTTGTTGATGTTAGGAATCTCCAAACCCCACTGTACATAGGTTGGGACCTGTATTCCTTGTCATCCATAGGAAATCCTTCTTCAAATTCTTCTTTTTCAACGTTTCGGAATGCTGTGGAGGTGAGGGAAATACACTGGGGAAGACCTATTGAAAGTTCATTATAAAACCTCCACGTACAAGCAGGTTATTTAGAATGTAAAATGTTATTTTGGAAATGAAAGCACGCTCCAAATAAGTATTTGTTGTAATTTGATAGCTTAAGCCTCATTTAAAACTTGTTTCATGCAGGACATAGACATAACGACTGGCTTGAAGAAATTGCTCCATGTTGTCTGAAAAACCTGATTTAGAGTGATTTCAGTTATAATTGTCTGAAATATAATTTCGTATGCAATTTATATGCCGTTTCCCTAGTGTTCAGCTAACCAATGCACAAATGATTTGGTGTTTCCATATGAAGCGAAAAAGAAAGCGAAAGTGAGAAAGAAATACCAAGCTTTGGGAACACAGTAAGAGCGTTAAGTGAATTAGGGGTTCTGCCATATGTATCTGCTTGCTCTTTAAGAATTTAGATGCATTTATTTAGCAGGACCTGTAGCATCTTTGTTTGCAACTCTAGCATAATGATTAATTTTAAGTCTTAAGTTTACATTTTGAATCGGGGCTATTTTACAGCTTCCATAGTCATTTATGTTTGCACACAGTGAGTATATTCAGCATCACTTTTTTCAGTTGCTCTTCACGCGTGCGAGTGACTACGTAGGGCGACAAGGCATCAGATCCCTAGGGTAGTGTAGATTAGTACGGAGGAGCATTAACCTGACATGTACTATGTTGGTGGATTTTATTCTAAATCATAGTACATCAACGTTCGGCGGTTGTCGCAAGGTCTCACACACAGGCTGGTAACAGCTGTAATTCTTACAACAGAAGTTACATGAAATGTGAAAACTACAGAAATCTGGTACAGCATTTTTCCTGGATAAAGACATTCTGGCCTGCTATTGTAGGAGAGCTGCTATTGTAATTCTTCCCTAGCAAATTAAGTAGCTTTTTATAATCAGCATGCCTCAAGCCTAATTTCTTTTCATTCCTTCTATAAATGAGTTATTCATACATTGATACCGAATACTGCTATTACCATGTTAACTGCCTTATTTCTTCTGAAATTATATGTGCAGCTTCAGTTGCAATTAAACCAAGATCTAGGCATCTTGCATCAAGATGATGGCTCATCGAAAAATAAAAGAGGAGTTCTTCCCAAGCACGCTACAAACGTGATGAGATCTTGGCTTTTTCAGCACATAGGGGTAAGGACTGAACATGATCAGGAGTCACAGATTTTTATGTAACTCTTTTATGTGGTGTCTTGCAATTTTGCTTCATAAAGAAGGTGAATTTATTCTTTTGTCGTTTGTGTAATCTCAGTTTAGTTTTCCCTGAAGTCATTTAGAGTAGTTCCACAGTCTAATGTCGGATGATTTTACTATTATTTTAATAAGTATGTTACATTCGTACCTCGTGATCTCAATAAACATTGTTAAAAGGGATCTTCCTTCATTTCGTTGTGTTGAGAACTTAATGCTCTCTGCGCCCTGGTTCACAGCACAAGGAAAAATAGTTCCATCTGTGTTTTGTGTGGTATTTCTGTAGAGGAGAAGTTCAAATTTTCTGACTCTTACCTCCTTTCCAACAATCCTTGGAATGTTGGAAAAGTGTGTTACTGTCTATTTGTTCTTTCAATAGGATGTCTTCCCTTTGCTAAGGGTAAATGGGGCTCAAGTTACATCACAATGTTTAGTTGATAGATATTTTGTCTTTTACAACTATTTTACAGCAGACAAATGATACTGGGAAACTGCGTGTACGCTTCTTACGTTACGTACGCTCTCTTCATCCGTGTAGTTCAGAGTAGCTTTATTTAACTAAAAAATGCTTGTCAGTACTCTCATATGACATTGCCTTTACACAGCATAACTAATCAGATCTTATCACATGCTGTGTTGCCCAGGGATCACGCTGTTTAATAAAGACTGTCAGCCATGAGAAGCTTTTTCTTCTGAATTACACATGAGCGGTTTAATGGGATCATATATGCTTTCAAGGATAAAATCAGTCTTGTATAGTAAAGCATTCTTTGTTAAGTGATTTTTATCTGTGTAAGTTTGTGAGGTTTCTAAAGTTTGTTTTTTAATGAGTCAGATGGTCTTAATCTGGCAGCTTTAATCAGTCGTGATAAAGGAGTCCTTATTTTTGATGAGGACATGAAACAAGCTTATGTCTTTTTGTTTGCTTTTTTTGTCCTGTTCAGCATCCATATCCAACAGAGGATGAGAAGAAACAGATTGCAGCACAAACGAATCTGACACTACTCCAGGTTAACAATTGGTAAGAGCAAAAACATTTACTCAATGCCTGTCATTGTCTCCACATGCTTGCAACATAGAGTAATCAAGAGTGTAACTTGGACATCTGGAACTTACTGTTCTACATGTTCAGATACATGTTACAAAATACATATAAAATACAAGATTATGATACACAAGCATGTTATGTTTATAGTAAAGTATAATAAATCTCGTGCCGTTTAAGCTATATACTTCAGAAAGCTTTGCAACATTAAGGAATTACATTCTGTTCTCTTGCTGAAAGAGATGGAAGTACTCTCATGTCTCTCCTGCAAGTAAAGAAATGGAAGTTTCAAGGCATTTAGTGACGTGATACTCTGGAAAGTGTCCTGTCGTAATCACGGTTGCAAATGTTTAAGAAGTTGCTGTCAGCAGATGTTCATTCTGCTCTTGTATCAAAGGATGCTGAGCAGTGATATCCCAGTGGAGAGGGTCAGTACCTCAGCTACTCCAGTTCATGGTGCAACATGTCTTATCTTCACTAGGGCTTTGAGATAATACACCTGCCCCTGCAGAAGAGAGGAGTGAGGGTATTGACGTACCTTCTATTCTGCTTGTGGTATCGGTTCCTAAAATTATTGCAGCTAAGTCCAACAGGGATCTTCCTCAGATTTCAAAGACCACGCTGGCTGCATGGCTGCAGAGGGGTCCGGTAGGGAAATACTCAAGACAGTGGCAGTACGCTGGCTCCAGAAGTGGAACAGTGTAACTATGCCTGCGTACACGGTAGTAACGGAGCTCTGTGGTACTGGGATCAGAATCATGTCTCTGCAAAGCATTGCATTACATCCTGTGGACCTGCCAGCTGCACCCTACTTCCTTCCATGTCAGGTAAAGATGGGTCCTGGCTGTGTTTTGTGAGGTTTAGCAAGGGGTGCTACCCTTAGTCATGACTTCCTGGCACAGAAGTCATGTGAAGTTGATTCACTGTGTTGAAATCGTTCAGTTAACTGCTGGTAGCTAAGTGAGAGGAGGTGTTGATATTTCTTGTTCACTAGCAGAAAGGGGAAGGGCAGCAATTACCATGCTGTGGAAATCAGGGAATGAAAAGGAGTTGGGAAAGATCTGAAAAATGTGTTTGCTATTGCCTCCTGGATCGGGAACCAGACCTTGGAAAGTCAGGGAGCCTATAAAATAAGTAATGCGTGATCTTAAGGAAGTAAACGAAACCAAACCAAAGTAGGTTCGACAGGGGCTAGATTTTAGGTGAACCCTAACGAGAGGGAGTATCGGCTTTCTGAGCTGTGCTGTCAGCAAGTTTTCTGGTGCTTAGTTTTTAGTAAGATCTCCAAATGTACACCTGTCATGCTCTCTGGAGGGTTTCTCCCTGTGAGGTGGGGAAAAAAGTGCTGCTAGCAGTAGAATGATAGAAGTACTTTTTTAGCTAGTTTGCCAAAATCAAAGGATGTCAGTGTTCTTGGAGCAGTTTTACATGTTAAAAAGAATGTCAAGCCAAGCTGGAAGGGAGAAGATTTTATATTCCTAAAGTTTTTTTCTCCCACTCATACTGTGTGAATCAGAGAGAGAGAGAATTTGCAGCCCACTGGTCATAAGTACTTCTTGCCTTTGATTGTGTTTAGGTTTATCAATGCTAGAAGGCGAATTCTTCAGCCTATGCTGGATTCCAGTTGTTCTGAAACTCCAAAAACAAAGAAGAAAACAGCTCAGAACCGACCAGTTCAGAGGTTCTGGCCTGATTCCATTGCCTCAGGAGTTGCTCAGCAGCAATCTAACGAGCTCACGATGTCAGATGGTAAGGAGAACTGGATAAGCCACAGATAATAAAGCTAATTCCTCTGTATCAGGGAAGTGAAGGTCGAGGGGAACTTCTTGATATTTCAGTATAAATGTGGTTTTGATCTGGAAAAACGTAACAGGAATGTGTCAATTTTTCCCTCTTTTAAAATTTTTCTGTGTTTTGGGGGATATTTTATTGGATTTTAGGTTGAGAGACTGTTGCTTTTGTTTCAGAAGTTACAAAACAGCAGATCAAAGGTTAGATGTGCAACTAAGTTCTCTCAGGAGGTGTAGGCATGGCAGTATCATTCCGCTTGACTGGCGGTATTGGGCTGCAACTTGCGTTTCGTGACTCCCCACCCTGCTCACTTTCCTTTCACTATTGCTGGAGGGACTGAGCATCTGCAATTCGGTATATGCCTCATGTGTTTCAAGTTGGACACTGAGAAGCAGAGAAATGTAATAGAGCCTGCAAAGACTTTGAAGTAACTTCCTTAGCGTCAGGCCAATCAGACAGACTCAGTTTAAGAAAGATAAATAACTGCTTCTTTCTCAGAACCATCTTTTCTGCCACCTGCTGCTTTACTCCTTTCCAGTTGGTAGCAACTTTTCCCTCAGCTTCCGCTGGACCTGACAACAGCTTTATCCATTTAAGTCACTTTGGATCTCTATGAACATTGCCGTTGGGTTTTTTGCAACAAATTAAGCTGGAGTACTTTGCAGATGTGGTCTTGTGATGACTTGGTTAGAGTATTGCTGTAAGGGGTGTCCGTAACATAGCTAAGTTTAAGATTCCTGGCCAACTTAATTCTGGAATTTCCTGGTATTTAAGTGTTTGACAACCTATATAGCTTTTATTTTAATTTAGCTCCTTAGGTTTCCTTCCTGTTGGTTAGAAACAATCTCTGTTATGCATAAATGTGTGTTACTTAAAATTAGAAACCAGGGAAGATGCTAAAGTATTACGGTTGTGCTTCCTCAGGTGCTGTTGTAACAATTACAGCTCCAGTCAACATGAATGTAGACAGTCTCCAGTCTTTGTCCTCCGATGGTGCTACTTTGGCTGTTCAGCAAGTTATGATGGCAGGGCAAAGTGAGGATGAGTCTGTAGACAGCGGTGAAGACGATGGAGGAGACCTCTCAACAACAAATATCAGTGGGCTGGTCTTGGATAACAGCGATTCTCTGCAGTAGGAAGCAAGAGAGTGTGACAAAATGTTTAGGAAAAAGAATGGACTGACTGACTGACTTTTTATAGTTTGCACAGCAAACATTTTACACAAGTTTTATTTCTAATATGTTTTATATGTAGATATAGAAGGGTGCACTTTTTTGTATTTCATAGTAAGCTTAAAGAGTGTTTTTGCAGGTGCAGCAACTTCTTTCAAATGTGTTTTTTCATTTCTTTTTCTTTTCTTATTTCAGAAAATTATATCTAGTAATATAAAGAACCACATAAGCACCCCTTTGTTCTGTGAATTGGAAGTGCTGCAGTTTCTAAAGGATTATGCGGTTTCAGTTAGTGCTGTTATTTAACACAGCTCTTGATGGGGAGGTGATGTAAATTTAAAGCATGTGACACTAGTGTGTGGAACTTGATCATTAAGTTAGATGCATATATTTGAAAGATGCTTCTGCACCTTAAAAACTGCTAGTCTGAGGTGGACAGCAACACACATAAAAAGAAAATGTTGATGTGTGATTCAGTAGCGAATGTATGGCAATTTAAATAAGTTTAGTTTCTCTCATAGTCCATGAGCCTGTTTATCATTTGCTATAAAAACTCCTATTTTTACCTTGCCGGGGTTATTGGATAAAAAATATTTTTATAAATTCACTAGGAATTGGGATGACGACTGTATTAAGCAGGAGGTAAAAAAAAAGGAATTTCCAGAGGGGAAAAAATAAATGCTTAGTATTCCTATTTGGAAGGTCTGAAAACTGACCAAATTTAATAAACAAACCTACACATTCTATGATTCTCAGCTATCCCACAGTGATGATATATTATTATATTTGATAATAGCATAAGAAGGGCCCACTGTTTGATGGGATTTTGATATTGTCAAACATGGATTTATATTACGTGTAAAGTAATATTCAAATTGCATTAACTCTGTATCTAGACTTGTATCTGAAGATATTTGCTAAATGAGTATTCAGGTAAGTAAATTTAAATACCCACAACTTTTCCAGTTATTAGAGAAATTTAGCAGTTTCTACTTTGTACAACTGAATCTAAAAAATGACAAGTTGCCTACTATACAGTCATGAATTCTGCTATCACTCTGCTATTTTATTGCATTTGAAATATTTTCCCCTAATACGAAAAGAAATATAACTTATGGATTTATATAAAACTTCTTTAAATCTGAAGGTTACTACCAGAATATACAGCAGGCTTTATTAGAGTAGAAAATCCTGTGTGTCATTTAAAAACTAAGAGCTAGTGGTGAAAATGCGCCTTTTTTTTGGTTTTGGTTGGGTTTTTTGTTTGTTTGGGTTTTGTTTTGGGTTTTTTTTTGTGGTAACAGTTCATTTCTTTTTTTCCCAAAGTTTGGAATCTGTGTCTGTCTATCCATGAACGCTTACTTTCGGAACTTTGTGTTTCCTGATGTTAAATACGTTTAACAGACTCCAAGAGTCTCATGGTAAGATCGACATCCTCTTTGCCCCATGTCCATTTGTCACGTTTGGTTAGATCAAACCCAGAACTTCCTTCTGATTTAGACTAAATCTAGTTGCATTTCAAACGTGACAGGGAAAAAGATGTTACCTTTTAGAAACTTTAGACATTGTATTTGAACCAAGCCCTTTGACAGATGCAAATATTTAATTGGTTATTTTATTTCTGCTTCACAGAATGCTCAGGCCTGTGCTTAGGTCCCATTGATTTCAGGATTAGTGCATGTACTTCTTGACATGCTTAAAAATGGTTGGAAGCTGGTCTTTACAGGTTGTCTTCCAAGGCAAGTGTAAGCTGGTATGAGGAAAAGCTTCAGGAAGAAATGTCAGTAGCATCGGCATACGTACGTGGAGGGTACATACTAGTTTTCGATGACTAGTAGCTATTTTGAAAAGTTGTCATTGGTTTTTACTCAACACAAGTGATGTTTCTGCTATGGCTTTCTCCTACTCCTGGTTGAGGATCTTGCTGCTTAGTTCAAACCCTGTAATGATCTACTTCAGCTGGAGTGCTAATTTCTAAAGAATTTGTTCTCTTCCAACTCCTCTGCCTTGCCACTGATGTGCCATGTTTGTTGGAACGCGTAGTAAATGAGTAACGAAAGATTTAATTGGGAAGCTTTGACATAGCGCAACTATCTCAAAGGCTATTGTCAGATCCAGTTTGCCCCCAAAACATTTAAAAAGACAGGTAACACGTACGATTTGTGCTCCTTTCCTCCTACAAAGGGTACCTGAGATTATGATCCTATGAAATTGATTAGAACTGAGAGGCAGATTCTTTTTAGCTAGTTTTAACCCCATAAGTGCTTCATCACCCATTATATATTAGGTTATATTTGTTGTTCTGTTTGGGGTCTTTGTCAGCTACCATATTTAATAGTGCATTAATCCTTGTACATCTAGCACGTAGGCAGGGGAGTAGTCTGCTTCACAGTGTGTACAGGCCTATGGACAAATATGTGCGGTTCCAAATCAACCTGTGCTGGAGGAACAGGCCGTTTCTCACTATCTCCTTTCCCTCACTGACCAGTTTCTGCCTCCGATCTACCCGCAGAGCTCTCCCCAGCCTGCTTTGGGGTAGTCTAGGAAGCAGCTCAGCCGGCAGATCTGTTGGGGAAGCCAGTAGCCAGGGTGGAGGGAAGGGTAAACCAAACTAAGCAAAACTTGTGTGGTTTGGAGATAACATGGTGATGCGCATTTGCCCACACTTGAAAACTTAGAAAACTAAGATCTTAAAAAGAGAGAGGGTATTAAAACAATTTAATATCTATACAGCTGGCTGGAAGAGGGTTCAGGAATATGTAGTTTATGTGCCGCTTGGAACTCAGTTGGAAACAACCAGGCATCAGGGTTTGCAAACTTCTGGAAGTTCATTTTTTAGAAAGAAACCACGATCTGGTTAGCTTTTTTATTCCCCCCACCTTATGTGCAGCAGAAGTTTTACTCTCCTGAAACGTTTGCGACCTCATCTTCAGCTACTTTATCAATACCTGGAAAGTCAAGTTGACAGAATATACTGTGAAAGGGGGGATATAGAATAGTTTTACTGTCAAATTAGAAACATAAAAACATAGGGACATGAATTCCTAAAACTGGAAAGGCTTTACCAACGTAATCAAAGGTATTGCTCAACAGTGCACCTCAAACCTTGGGTTTTAATTCAGTGAGAATTCTGTAGTGGGTATGAGCTGCACAGAAGTGCTGGTTCTTTTCATGATTTAAAAAAAAAAAAGGTACTGTCCTTTTTGTTGTGTAAGAAGGACTGCTGGTTTAAGCAAAGCATCACTGTTCAGGAGAGGCACATGTTAACATTAGTTAAAACGTCTTGACAGGGGACCTAACTTTAAACCCATGTACAGCTCCCCACCCTACCCGCGCCTAAGGTCATATCCATATGCAACAGAATGGATTTGGTTTTTAAATGAATGTAATTCTTCTGCAGTTAGGATTAGTGAAACGTTTACAAATTTTTTCAACATAATCTAGATCATTAACCCAAAACAGGGTTCTTGGTCCAATTTTTCCAAGATTTCTGTAACAGGCAAGATAATTTCCTGTTCCTTAACTTTAGAAACATGGCATTTTAGTAAATCAGGTCCACATTGATCTGGAAATATTTTAAAATTACTATTCTGAAGAAATAATCATGTTGGAAAACATGTAGAATCAACAGACATGGCTCTGGCTCTGCAGAGAATTTCCTACATCTGGATATTGGGTTAAAATGGAGCCCTGCTGCCCTCAGGGAAACTCCGTGAGGCTGCATTCACCTGCGAGAGAACTGGTTGCTTGTCTTGGTCCCTGATCGCTATTGGGAAACTTTTGGAGAGCCCCAACTTTATCTTGCCTGCACACCTAGGATTTTTTCCAGTGGAAAGCAGAGCATGGACAAAGGGCTTAGAAGGGCAGGAATTTGTGTGACCTGGTGCACCCCACACAGCGTTTTGATGTTCACAGTATGGCCAGAAGGCGGACCTGCACCAAAGACCTGGAGTTCTCGGTTCCTGTGCTTTAAGAGTAGCTTCAGGTTTATGGATGTTCTAGTGGAGTAGGGCCATAATGACTTAATGCGTGAATAGTGTATCTATTTGTTTCTCTAATCCCATGGAAAAAGCATTAGAAGGCAGTTCAGCTCCCTGACTTTATGAACTTGACAGCCCAAGGGACGAAACAAAGCCTTTCCAAGGAATGGTAGTTTCATAAAACCACTAGACTTGTAGCACTTAAAACAACCAAACAACAAAAACACCCTGGTAGTTTGAAAAATCGGAACACATGCGTTTAATTGTAATTAAAGTTGATTTAAGATTTATTTTCTGAAGCTGAATTGTCTTGGGAGAAAAAAATGAATAAGTATTTGTCTATGCAAGACATAAATGTCAAAAATGTGTGAATGACCCATTTTTAGGTGCTGTATTGTTATCGTCTTTCTGACTTCTGTTACTTGGGTTAGTCTTTTAAACCTTTCAGCCTGATATTCAGCTTAGTTTTTAGAGCTGAATAGGCAAAATGTAGTTTTGAAATCCTGTTGGAAATGTAACTAGCCTTCATTCCCTCATGAAAATCTCGCATGTTGAACAACTAAGTGAAATGTTTTGGTTTCCTAATAATAAATTCAAACTCTCACCACTTCCTAAAAACAGAGCAGATCCATGAAAATACAGGTTTAATTGTGGTGTGCACACGATCAAGTCACCAGCCTCATGCTGATACGCTTTGCTCTTACTGTTCAGTGCAGCTGAACAGTCAAGCAGGTTGGTTTTGCCAAACTCCGACTCGGTGTGGATTCCTTCCACCCCCACCCTTGGTTTGCTTTTTTGGGTGGTTTAATTTTGAAGTCCTACAGTAACTTGATCATCCAGTGTAAAGTGTACTGAAATTGGCACTAATGTGCTTTTAAGTGGTTGCCCGAATCATGTTATTTGTGCATTCTTGTCAGCTGGAAACATAAAATCTGTTCCTTCTCTGTGAGTTAGTTCTTTAGGACCTGCTGAGTGATCACAGCTGTCTTTGCCAGAGAAAAGCAAGGTGTGAGAGAGCAGTGAAATGCCTTACCAACCTTGTAGACTCCTATAAAAATCCTGACTTCATGTTAATAGAATCCAGTGTTTTCAGGTCGTGACAGAAGTGGCCCTTAAATCTTTCCCGTGGGTTATGGACAATCTTTAAACTGTGAACCCTGTAACTTCTTTTTTTTTCCCTTGGTTGTTAAGGGATTTTGAAGCAACTGATCTATCAAAGGATAAAATTAAAAATGAGAATATGCTTCATGGATGATTTATTTTTACACTACTGTTCTCTGTGAACTGAAAAAGCACATTTTTAAAGCAAAGCATTTGCATTACTTTAACACTAACAGTATTGTTTGGCTGAAAGATAAATATGTTTTCAAGTAAATCTTTGAGCCTAGTTTCAACCTACTTAACCAGTTCTTGGCCAGGGACAGTCCTTCGCCTTTTTATTTGTTTGGGTTTTCTTGTTTATGCAAATGAAGAAAAAT